ACGACAGAAGCAGAACTTGAACTGGACGACTATGATACACAGTTTATGTTGAAGTTAAAAGTTCCGCAAACATGCCGTACAACTGCGGTACTCCACTGACGGGATGACTTTCGTCGACAGCGGTTGTCGCTGAGCTGCACGCTACAACTTCTTGTGCGATCTTGCTGGTCGTGGATTGACTGGGTCTTGATTACCGGTTAAAATGTTGCTCTTTTGGCGTTGGTAATTTGTATTTGGAACTGAGTAACGCCGCAACGTCGCCAGCAGAAACCTGGTATCTCGATGCTGATGGTTGCGGCTGGATAGTAATCGATGATTTTACTGCGGATGGATCTTCCGAGAGCCCTTCAAGGTTTATAAAACTCAGTTTCCAGGTGGTCAACATACATTAAGTTCTCCCAATCGTAGTACTCCATGTGATGTACACCTAACACGCCAACAATGTTGCCTGACGATTTGAACCGGACAAAAATAGCAGACGAAAATGTGTTTACAAAATAAAAATAGTTCGGTAGCCGAAGGAAATACCATGTTCATGTGCATATCGACCGTGAAAATACCGAAAACATTATTGTATGGGTGATATGCAAATTAGTTTTTGTCAAAATAAGTGACTGGCTAAAGGTACCTAATATCCTACTTCTTAATATTGCTTATTTTTGCCATGTTTCGAAAAACGGTACTCCTGAAGGGACTACTTTGTTTGCTCTCAGACCTCATTTGCATATGAGATGTGGAAATACGGATATTGATTTCAGGGACGAATCAAAATAAACTGCAGTACATATGTAATAATATATAACATAACACAAATATAATTAAAGTAAGCAAAACATAATTGATGAAATATCGAATAACATTTCAATGATATTATTGAAATTATATTATGGCAAAAATAATACTAATCAACAAATTACAAAAGCTCTAGCGATAAAAGAAAAAATACTCAAACCTGATCTACAAAAACTGAAATCAATAAAGCAATTGACGGAAAAAACAGAAATTAAATATCTGCAGAAGACAGCAAGTTAACTACTTTGAATAACAGACTAATAAACTACATGTAAAATACAAATCTGATGCCAGTTGAATCGGGGATAGGAAAGGCGATGATGCATTTACGTTTAAGGCTGCAGTGAATAAAACATTATACAGAAAAAATGTAATGTGGCAAATGTATTAGAAATAACACAAGTAGGACAAGTTTGTGACTTGTGAACAGTGTTCCACTACCACATTCTTATAAAATTAAAGGGCAAACAAATTTTCTAATGAAAATAATTATTTGGAACAAACGTGTGACCAGATGTATCGATTTATATTTGGCGTTAGTGACAACCCTTGGAATCAGGGCAGAGATTGACAGACTCACAATTAAAATTAAAGCAGAAATTTTTCGAATTAAATACTGGGACATATTATGTACCTACACATGATAAATTGAGACGTGCACTTGAAGAAACAGTATCATAGAACTCAAATCAGATGAAACATGTTCACAAATTCGTAACACAAATAGCATTAGGAAACTCTCAAATTTAGTGGAAACAGCAAATGAACGAATCCAGTCACAGAATAAACAATCAAACAAACAAATTATGAATATATAAGTTGATTAAAACAAACTTTAAATTTCAAAAGTTGAGTTAAACAGAAAGAAAAAAATGGTTAATATTAATAAACAATATGTATTATTGTGCCGTTCAAGACCCTCTGTTGGTACATGTGTGTAATAAAAAAAGTCATGAATCAAGTTCATTTTATGACTTCTTGTGTGTCGCACATTCATTGGGATAGATTAAATGCACGCCATAGTTCGCTTTTAGCTTTAAAATCAACATTTTGTCGACACATTGTTGCTGACAATTATTAGTACACACTCGATATGGCTTATAAATAGTAGATGACCTTATGTAGCGTTAGAACATATGGCTCGTAATGTTTGACGAAAGTCATGTTTGAAGAAAGTATAAACGATTGGATTACAACAAGAATTTAAATAACTCAGCAAAGGCATACATTGACATGTCACCTGTAGAGCCGTGGAGAGACTGATGTTGGCTGACACAATTAAAATATACTGTATCATCCAGACAGGAGTCCAACAAATCACGAAAAATATAACCGCCACAATAATAGAAGTAGATACCCGTTCCAATCGTGGCGAACGTTTTGTTTGTATACGTCTTCTACACAGGTATCGTAAAATCATTACATAGCAAACAATTATTACCAGTAGGGGTAACCAGAAACCGATCAAACTCGAGTAAATCGAAAAAGTGAATTCAATCGACTGTGGGCCTGCCACAATGCAAACAGTATGATTATTATTATTTTCAACATGTGCGTACATCCATAATGGCAAGGCTGTGGTGGCTGACAGCACCCACATCCCAAGACAAATTTTACGAGCAACTGATTCTGTTCGATAATTTCTGGAAGAGACGGCATATACCACTGCAACAAAACGGTCGACAGCCATAATAGTCAATGTAAAAATACTTGTAAACATATTCATTCCATCTATACCTACTACAAGTTTACAAATTGTACTCCCGAAAACCCACTGTTTCGTAGTATTGAAGTAGTTTAGAAAAAGCACTCCAAGCAAAAACAGAAAATCTGCAGACGCTAAATTTATGATGTAGATATTATGAATACTTTGCTTGATCCGCTTTCGCACAAATAAAACCATGCCATTCCCAATCAAACCGAAAACACAGAATATAAGAGATAACATTGGTAGCAATGTTAAGAAAAACCATGCTGGCAGTGCATCTGGGAACATAGGTATTGTGAAGTTGTTAGTATCATTCTCATTGATCAATCCGGTATCTGCAGTGTAGCGTGCATGGGACTGAATCCCTGCAAAGAACATAGTAGACGAAGTTGTTGATGTGATGCACACTGCCTCAGGAATTTACTGCACTCCAACAAACTCAGTTCCAGTAATACTCTCCCAGGTTAAGATGAGGGTCGATGGGAATGGAATAAATGAATGACCTTGGAGAGTTTCTAAACAAAAAATAAAATAAAAAAGTACAAATAATTATTATGGCTCATGCAGAACGAGTGCAATTTACGAACATAAAAGAAGTTGTATTAAGTATGTCAGTAGACAGCTGATGTTATCAACGATCTCTGATGCGAAAACTACGAGACTGAATTGACATTTAGTTATGCATGATTCAGTATTTATTTCATCGACAATGTGATTGGCATAAACGAAAACAGAAGAGCAGCGCCATTTCTTGTGTGTGCTGAACACTTGTCATGCACGTTCACCAACGATGTGTAGCTACTTTTGCAATATTCGTCGGCAGCCAATAGGATTTTTAAGCTGAACCTGGATTCAGAGACTATATATAATGTGTTGATGGATGTTCGGTCCTGAGACCATACACTTAATGAATCTGCGTTGTGACATGGTGTCTTATTTATGCATGCGTTGTAATCAATCCAAAATAATACCATAACACGGTATATCTTCACCATTATAGTGTTTAAAGGTATTGGAATGTCTCGTTCAGGGCTCATACCACTAATTGAAACTCCATAGACGACAATGTCCTCAAACAGGAACACCTGAGAAATTGGTATACTCCAGTGTTGGGTGGTTGGTTAACACCCAATATATAGGCATGCATGCAGTACATTTGAGAGCAGTTATCACAACTTTGTTGGAACTCAAAAGAAAACAAGTTATGGCATGCAGCAAGAAGAGTAATATCTGTGAGTC